CTGTATGAGCCTTCCAGATGAACAGCTCTCCAGAAAGGTATTTCAGCCCGTGAGAAGTTCTGAGAGCTAACAGTGGTGTGCCAGTTTAAAAAGTATGCAAAACACCAAATTAGTTTTCAACTGCGCATTCTTACCCATTTTTCTTCTAAGAGTGGAAACAGTCTATGCAATAACCGTGAACAACTGAAACAATCACAAGCAACTGTACATGCAGTGAGCATTTAACTTATGTAACTCATCTACTTCAATCTTAAGCCTTAAGTTGCGCCAGAGGAGATTAAGGTTGGGTATCAGAGAAAATTTCTTCTCATGAAGAATAGTGATGGACTGGCACAGGCTGCCCAGGGAGGTCAGGGAGGTTGGAGTCACCAACCCTGGGGGTGTTCAAAAACCATGTGGATGTGGCACTGAGGGATGAGGTCAGCAGGCATGGTGGAGATGAGCTGGCAGTTGGACTAGATGATCTGAGGTCTTTTCCAACCTTCATGATTCTTCAGGCAATTTTCAAGACCAGAAATTTTACTTGTTCCTTTTGTCTAGCTCCCTATTTGCTGTAATACCATGCACAGGGCTACCCTCTCTAATAGCTCCAGGGCCTAGAAATGGGTCCTGCTTCTTCTCCTTAACACTGGGTCTTAAAGAAGAGAACTGCAAGCTTCTCTTAATGGCTGCTTGAAGGGCTCAACAGTTAATCTGCAACAGAAGTATCTGAAAGCAGAACCTGAGTCACACCTTAACTTGGATTTTCTACTACCGGCTAGAAACTACTGAGTGATGGAGAAAATACTGATACTACTAATAAAGAGAAGTATTTATCACCTTACTTATCAGATAATTATAACACATAAGTGAATATAAATAAGGCCAGCAAGCAGTCTTCACTTACACTGGGAAATGGAAGACAAAAAATTAAGGTACCAAATTTACTTTCTGCCTCCTTCTATTGACACCATGTGCTGCCTAGTTTTAAGCATGCCATGGGTGACAAGAAAGGTCAGCATTTCACTCAGGAAACTCTACCTCCACCTAATCATGAATCCCTTGAGCAGCACAAGTCAGCTGAGGACCTTTGCTCCTCCAGGTCCTGCCTCCGACGTACATCTGTAAAAGCAGCTGAAGAGTTTATGGTAGACTCAGTGAAGTCTCAGAGAATGACAGTTATTAACCAGAAAGGGGATGTGGCTAAGCTGGAGTTTCTGGAGATGCTACTTCTGTTTCAGACCAAGAAATTTCCCATACACTGTGTCCACTGCTCTCAAAGAAGACATACATGGTGCAAATGCACACATCAGACTGTACACTACTAACACTACTGCCCTCAACAGAGCAGTTTGTCATTCTGCCTCTGAGATGCAGTAGATTGCTCCTGCTGCCATGGTGCATGCATTCTGAAGACACTGCACTTGGCACTCCCTCACTCACCCATCTATTCTTCCCTGCTGTTCTTTTAAATTATGAAAAAGTGAAGTCCTTTTAGTAACTCAGCTCTTCCGAATTGAATGTGATATTCCATGGCCTGCCTGGTTCTATTAGAACTGATTTCAGCTCCACACAATGCTCGCATGCCTCAAGCCAGAAATGGCCATGCTCATTACTATGACCAGATCACACTGGAAAATGAGTTTCTTCTTTCTTTTTCCTTCTACATTTATAGCATTCTAGATCTCCTAACCCTTATATAACCATTCAAAAAAATAGAATTTGGAATTCTCACAGATACTTTAACCTTCACAAGCTGCTGCCTCTTTTTACATTGTTATCTGTCAATTTAACTTAACTACAAGACTAGATGTGATTATGCTCTTAACCTCAACCTACAAGCTTTTAATTAAGGTGCTACTTGAGAATGTATCTTTTTTTTCCCCCCTCATAGCTCACTGACCACAGCAAAGGAGATGAAAGTATTCTGCCAAAAACCAACGCTTTGTTGCTTATTTTTTCTTTACTGTACACTCTGAAAAGCATTAGTGGGATATATTTTAATATAATACTTAACAGAATTTAGACTTTGTTCAAATACCTTGCAGGCATTATCTTGCCAGCTTACCTGATCAGTACTTTTCTAATTACAGAATCACAGAATCACAGAATTGTAGGGGTTGGAAGGGACCTCCAGAGATCATCGAGTCCAACCCCCCTGCCAAAGCAGGTTCCCTACAGCAGGTCGCACAGGTAGGCATCCAGGCAGGTCTTGAACATCTCCAGAGAAGGAGACTCCACCACCTCCCTGGGCAGCCCGTTCCAGTGCTCCGTCACCTCACTGTAAAGAAGTTCTTGTGCACATTTGTGCAGAACTTCCTATGCTCCAGTTTCCAGCCGTTTCCCCTTATCCTGTCTCCACTCACCACTGAAAAGAGTCCAGCCTCACCATTCTGCCCCCCACACCTTAGGTATTTATAGACCTGGATCAGGTCCACTCTCAGTCTTCTCAAGGCTGAACAGACCCAGTTCACTCAGCCTTTCCTCATAGGAGAGATGCTCCAGGCCCCTCACCATCTTTGTGGCCCTAATTACTTAGTCCTTTTAAAAAGCATTTTCTTGGGCTTGCCAGTACTCTCCATCACGCTCCCAATTTCTTCAATTCCCCTAGAAAGTCTTAGTCTGCACACTTTCGCAGGCACTTAACTTTCCAGACAGGTATTTTCAAATAGCAGTTTTTATACAACAGAGGCATCAGCTGAAAAGCTAGACGTGAGCAACGTAAGGAAAAGTATTTTCCTTCAGCAAGTGGGAGGAGGGGTTAAGCAGGAACATTATTTAGTGCAGCTCTGGCTCCACACCTTCTGCAGGGCCGCCTGTTCCAGCAGCCGCCAGCACAGGACCCAGCAGCACGCACCCAGAGCCCATGTTCCCCAGCTGCAGCATGCTGACACATGCTTGGCAATGGGAATGCCACCTTCAGACTGGGGGGGAGAGCGGCACAAACCGCCCTCACCACAGTTGTGCCACTTCAGCCCTACTTGGAAAAAAAAAAAAGGAAGGAAGGGGTGGGGGCATTCATCAACCGTGCCATCTTCACCACATCTTGCAGTCCGTTACAGCACTTGATAGGTGACACAGCAGAACCACAGGCCATTAATTGCAGCAGCATTTTCATGTCAGAATGTTTATGTTTACAGGGAGCACAGGTCTTCACAGACCCCGTGCCCAGGAATGCAGTGCTGCTGTCCCTACCAGGACTAACTCCACTGTTTCACTAGGGTAAAAACTGAGCTTTGGAATTTAAAAAAGTGAGAATCACTCTTCCCTTTGGAAAGTCAAAAAACTGTTATATCAATTAGCTTCTCCATTTTCTAACATCAAACCAAACCTAATAGGTTTGACTTGGAAATTTAAGATCTCCCAAGATTCATTACACATTGTAGGCAACACATAATGGTGGCCATGCAATAGCCTGAAAAAAGGCAAGCAGTTCGTTTTTCTTCCCTGCAACAGGACCGTATATATCCACAGAGACTTCTGAAAACAGGTTAGACAGTTCATCAATTAAGACTTCATACACTCCCTATCCTGTCCCAGTGCTCAAGCATGCTTAACATGTTACCTACAACCTGAGCCGGATTATCACTTCTCCAAATTCAGTTTATTACTTTTTGATCTACTCTTAGAAGACGCTGAAAACACCTATCTGTTCCTAACTGTAGCATTTTCTTCCATTTCTGAAGTTTACTGTTGTGTATGTTATTCCTCCCTTAATTATTCCCCTCCTCCAGCAAGATAGATCTCTGAAAAATTAGGTTCTTTCTTAGGTGTCTTACGCCCATTATGTTCCCACACACTTTCTATGACACTGATCAGTGCTACTAATCTGCATTTCAGGTGCCAGTCCTTCACTCAGCCCACCTCCTTCCAAACGGCAGTATGAAACAGATGTATCCTAATGTCTGAGTTGCTCTGAACCGCCGCTATTTCATCTCCTCTTCCACCCCTTCTGTTTCATTTTTTTCCCTGCTTGTACAGCCCTTCATTCCCTGAACTCTGCTATCTGTAGCACACTTGAACACCCTTATCTTTTACAGGCAAGCTTGCAGTGACTATGTATTTCTAGTTGCGTTTCTGCACACCGAGATACTTCTCATGTGCTTCTGAACTACTAAAATTCCCTACAAGATTAATTTGTTGAACCAATCACTATTTCACAGTAATTCTCACTCTTTGAAAGCTACAACAGTTCACGTAATAACGTAACCTGCTGTTTAGAATTTGAATCGTATCACTTTGCAACTTGTTTGCTTTTTTTTTTTTTTAAATATATAAGTGGAGATACATTCATATCTCAATACAGAGCGCTCTATTCTCTCGTTTTCCATAAAGAAACGTGGCAGTCCAATTACATTAGCTATGAACAATGCAATAGATCTGAAAGGCAGAACGCGTTTAAATGCTTTTTAGAAGAATACTGGAATGGATAAGAGCAAAGGTGGTTCTGAGGCCTGCCTCAAGGCCACCAGTCTTGGCACGGATGGCAGGGAAGTCTATGCTGCAAGTTCCCGATGCTTGTTTTTACAGACAGTAATCAGCATCTTTGAGTGGACAGGGAAGAAAAAGTGAGGAGATAAGGAGGCTTTGCTGCCCTGAACACACCAAACAGCAGAGGCAGCGCCAGCCAGCAGTGACACCCAGCTGCTGACTTCTGGAGACAACGGGACAGAGCCACCAACCATCCCAGCACCTGAACAGTGTATTCTGGGGCTGTCAAAGCCAACCTAGGATAGCGTTCAATATGAACTCATCTAATGCCAATGACCAGACTGCTTTTATGAGTACAGTAGATCCTCACATCTGCTCTGAGGAAACTGCTGCAGACCTGAAGCCGCTCTGGGGTTGGATCACCCATAAGGAAGCACAGCCTAGGCCTGAGGTAGAGCAGAGTCAGGTTCATACATTTGCACTGCCAGCTGTAACAGAGCCTGACCTGCTTTGCTTCTGTTAGCAAAAACAAAAGCAAAAATATGCTATTAGTTATGCCCCTGCATGTGATGTGCTATAAATATACTTACATCTTTTGCCATGTTACCCCAGCCTAGCAGGCAATCCTCTTACAATCCTGCTGCCTGCGGGACGCGGGGACGACGATGCTATTTTCTAGAAAGCAAACACAGCCAACATCAGTCAGCTCACCACAATGAGAGGAGGCAAACTTTGCACCGCCCCAATTCCCGACTGCTCCCCACAGCGTTTTGCTTCACAACACAACCCTCTGGGAGAGCACGAAGTTCCCCCCCCCCCCCCAGTCCCGCTCTGTCGAAGCGACGCCCCCGCTCACAGTCAGCACGTGGGAGCGACGCCCCGCCGCCCCCCCCTCCCCGCACAGCCGCCGGCTCCGCTCCCGTCCAGCTGCACAGGGGGGTGCACGGCACGGTCGGGCCTCCTCCAGCCGCCCCCATCCCGGCGGCGGGCACACGTAGGCCTCGGGGCCGCCCCCCTCCTCCCGCCCGCAGACAGAGGCTGCAGCCGCCGCCCGCCCCGCGCCCCTCCGCCGGGGCCTCCGCTCATCGGCGAGGGGCCACGCCGATCGCGGCGCCTCCCAGCGACTCCCATCCTTTTCCTCATATCCTCGGGCCGCAGCCGCCCGCACCTGAGCGGCCCAAGGCGGAGAGCGCCGGCTCCATCCCCCGCCGCCGCCCCCCAGCCCGGGTCCCGGCGCGCAGCACCCCCCGCCCGGCGCCGCGCTGCCGCTGCGGAGGCGCCCGACTGCACATGTGCGGCGGCGCGCGCGGGCCCGCGAGCACGGCGGGAGGGGGCAGGGGCGGAGGGAGGGAAGGAGAGAGGGAGGGAGCGGGCGCCCAACGGCCGCTCGGTAGG